TCAGGCTCTGTGCTGACAGCCTGGAGCCTGCTTGAGATTCTCTCTCTCCCTCTCTCTCTCTGCCCCTCCCGTGTGTGTGCGCACGTGCTCTCTCTCTCTCTCTCTCTCAAGATAAATAAACATTAAAAAGACAGGAGCCCTGTTTCAGAGCCGCTGTGTAGGAGTGGAAGGGGATAGTATGCAAGCAGAGAGACCCGTGACTGGGAGGGAGAATATTTGGAAAAAAGCAAGAGCTGGCAAGGTCAAGGTGGGGAGGCAAGAGCCAGGGCTGGTAGCAGATCATGCTCTGAAAGGTGGGAATGATGGAACCCTAGAGCCTGATATGGACTTGAAAGTGTCTGCAGAAAGCAAAAAGGAGCCCCATGGCTGGCTGGCACCATCTGGAGGAGACAGCGTGGTGTCACAATAGAGCTATGGGCTTGGAGTCGAGAGCCCTGTTGTTAGCCTTCGGTCCGCTAGACTAGTCTAGAACTCCCGTTGTCTCACCTGCAAAGTGAGGATAAAGCCACCAGTTCCACTGATCTCCAAAGGCGGCCAGGGAGACCAGATGGCGTGGTGGGTGTGGTGTGAAGGGACTTTTCACCTCGTAAAGTGCGGGACAAATGCGAAGCCGCTTTGGACTTAAACCTGAAATCACTTCTCGGCCTTTTGGCTAAGATCAAGTGTGGACTTAAACCTGAATTTCTTTTTGCACAGCAGGGGAGGGTCTGCCCAGGAAATGGCTGATCGCGTTTCTGGCTTTTCCCTCAGGGTCTCCACAGAGCTGCGCTATCGAAAACAGCCCTGGGGGTTAGTGAAGACCTTCATCGAGAAGAACTTCTGGAGTGGGCTGGAGGACTACTTCCGCCACCTGGGTGAGCATGCGCTGTAGCCATCGGTGCTGCTTGAACTGCATCCGGCCGCCACCATCCAGGGGACCAGGAGACATGGAGAGTGGAGGGAGGGCAGACCGAGATGGGGAAGGAGTATCATGGGGTCCCTAAGTCCGCCCCAGAAATGGATACAGAATTGGGCATGTATGGGAACGTGTGCATTTTCCAAGAGATTCTGTCTGTAACTTTTACGGGATCTGTGACTTTCCCATCTGATTACACCGGTGGTAATTCAGTTATGGAGAGGAAATAAAAGCCTGTGAATGCTTCCATTAGGAAATGGGGTATGCCCCAAGTTGTGCACATGAGGGTGCAGATCCTGGGGACCTAGGTCCACAAAATGTTGAGCAACCCTGAAGAGGGGTTGGGGTGGGGCTGAATCCCAGCTTCCTGAGGCCCGTGGCCATCCCCGAGGGACCCCCCGCCCTTGCATTCAGTGTCCCAGAGTACAGTATGGGAAGATGGCTCTCTCAGCTAGGAGCAGACAGCTGTTTCTGGAGGCCAGTGTGTCGAGCTGGAGGTATAGGCAGATGGCCTTTCGTCTGTGACAGAGAGCGAGCTGACCAAAACGGAGAGCACCTACCTGGCTGAGATGCACAGACAGTCTCCCAAAGAGAAGGCCAGCAAGCCCCCAACGGTACGGAGGAGGAAGCGCCCCCATGCTCACCTGCGGGTGCCTCACCTGGAAGAGGTGATGAGCCCCGTCACCACACCCACTGATGAAGATGTGGGCCACAGGATCAAACACGTGGCAGGTGCGTGCCAGGTGGGAGTGGGGGCGTGGCTCAGGGCTTTGACCCAGAGCCGTGTGCCCAGGCCGAGGCGTATGCGTGCACACGCTCCTTTTGCATCCTCGGGTATAGATTGTGTATGATTTGCACACGACTCCTTAAATTTCAGCCTCCGGATCCTCTACCTATTTCCCTTTGCCCTTTAATGTCCTCAGTCCCTGCTGAACCCACGTGTGGGGTCTGCTGAATAGACGTGACCTGAACTCCGTGTCCCTGTGGATAGACTCAAATGTGCAGCTTCCAAACTTGGGGCAAATGCACCAGGGACAAGCCCCAGTGCAGACGCCAGAGATGACCTCATAACCTGAATGTCAGAGAGCCCAAGGCAGCCCCCCTCCCCTGGCCCCCACAGGCCCACTGAGGACCTGCCCTACCGGACAGTGGACTCCCTTGACCTGTCTCCCCCTTGCATCCAGCATGCACAACCTCATGTCTTCTCAGCCATGGCGACATGCAGCCATAAGAAGCCTTAGAGACGGCTAATCTGGCAGTTTTTAGGCTATGCTTCGCACAGCCGTGGGCGTTCCTCAAGATGGGGACAGGAGAGGAGGAAAGAGCCAGCCTTCCACGTCCCTCCCCTCAGTCTCAACCGGAGCACCCCGCCTTAGGTGTTTTATATGTAGGATTTCTGACCAGCACGGCGTTTGAATAAACTGAGTCTCAGGCATTGAGACTTGCTCAGCATCTCGTAGCGGGTTATAAATAAAGCGAGGGGGGAGAGCGGTCTCTAGTCCTCGCCGCAGGCTGTTGCCTGAGCCGTGGCTAAGCTGTGGGCACTTTGTCCCGCCCCTGCGTGTCCCAGTTACGTAAGGCTGTTGAGTTTCCCGTGCGTTTGGTGACTTTAATGTCCGCGTTGCTGGGCCCACCCCAGACCTTGCCCTCGAGGAGTTTCCCTTGTACTTTTGTGGAGGCCGGGTGTATCTATCCTGTCATCATGACAGCGCCACGGACGTTGTCTTTCATCCCCTGAGGCTCTGTGCGTGACCGCCGTCAGAGCAGCCAGCGGACTTGAGCGCCACAATGGTGACGGCGTCTTTACTCTCCCCCACAGGTTCCACGCAGACACGGCATGTCCCCGAGGACACCCCTAACGGCTTCCACCTGCAGAGTGTGTCCAAGCTGCTGCTGGTTATCAGCTGTGTGTAAGGGATTCCAGGCTCTTCCCCAACCTGCCCTCCCTGCCTGCTGGCCCCTCAGGCGTATGAGCACCCCCACACCACAGCCCTGCTTCTTCTTTGTCCTCTAGGCTTCTTCCTTCAGATCAGTCGCTCTGTCCATCATTCCTTGCCTCTTTGCTTCTTTTTCTCTGTTTTATTTAGCATTTGCTGTAAGCTAGGCCTTCGGGATTGAGCAGGGGATTCTCTGCATCCATGCCCTTAGGAACTCAGTTTCAAGGGGATAGGACAGGCAGCAAATTGAGAATTACCGCACCGTTGGGAAAATACTAACGTAGAGATGCTACACAGCATCTTCGGAGCCCATTCGTTCATTTGGGAGGGATGTTCTGTGGCTCTGCTGTGTGCCAGGTGCAAGGACCATGCACTCCTGGGCCCCCACTTTGGCGGGAGAGCCAGACAAAATCAATGACTACAGTCCAGAAAGGCGTATGCTTATGTTCATGTAAATAATTTATAATAGTGCCATAATGTTATAAAACGGTAGGCTCAGTGCCATTCATAGAAGGATGCTGGGCAGGGAGAGAGGGCATGGAAAGAATGCGGGTGTAGGGTGGGGAGAGCACAGCTGTCTGCAATTTAGTAAGCCCGCAGCCCGCCCCAGACGCCCCTGCATCCCTGTGAGCGCGGGGTGCCTGAGACAGCCGAGTGCTGACCGCTCGCGCTCTGTTCACCTGGTGCCTCTACCCCCGCCTTTCCTGGGGGTTGGGCTGTGCCGTGAGCTTACGGGGGCACAGCTGGTGAGGGGTGTGGGGGCTGCCTAGACGCAGGCCCTGCCAGTCATGCACCAGGCACTAGCCTGCCTCCAGATCTTCCTTTTTGTGACACCCCCTCCTCCCTCCTTCAACCCCCACTAAAGTGTTTTCAGAGAGGCAGAAGCAGGGGCACAGCCCAGCCATGAGGGAACCCTGAAGGAGGCCCTGGAGTGACATGGTTTGTTTTGCCTTTTTTTTTTTTTTTTCCAAAATGTTTATTTATTTATTTTAGAGAGAGAGAGAGAGAGAACAAGCAGGGGAGGGGCAGAGAGAGCAGGAGAGAGAATCCCAAGCAGCCACCACACTGTCAGCGCAGAGCCCGACGTGGGGATCAGTCCCACAACCGTGAGATCATGACCTGAGCTAAAATCGAGAGTCAGACGCTAACCGACTGAGCCACCCAGACGCCCCACTTTTGCATTATTTAAAAAAGTCACTGTGACAGCCATGCGCGGAAGCCTAGAGAAGGAAGGGCTGGAGGCGGGCAGGCCAGTCAGAGTAAGTGGCAGTGACGTAGGTGAGCGTGACTGTCCGGCAGGCGAGCGATTGGGGCTGACAGGTCCTCCAGGGGGAAGACCCGTTAGCCACGCGGTTGGGTAGCCGAAGAAGAGGAATGACCGCAGCGAGCACCCGTAGATGGTTGTGTCATTAACAGAACAGGCACAGGGTTGTCAGAGAAGCTGCTCTGTGTGTCTTGAGTGTCCGCGTGTGTCTTGAGCTGCCGAAGGTTATATCCAGGCGGAGGTGACAGGTACTTGCTGATGCGGACCTGGAGCGAGGCAGAGAAGCATGGGTCACGGATGCTGGTTTAGTCAGCAGTAGCATGAAAACCGTGGGTGCAGATGAGACCATCCTCCGAGGACAGCAGGGTGGGTGGGGGCGAGAAAGAGCAGGGCTGCAGACAAGGCCCCTGTGAGGAACGTGAGGCAGGCTCTCTGCTAACCTTAACTGAGTATGTAACAAAAGTAGATGGAAAATTCTTCTGTGAGTGGCCTAAGAAGCCAAGTTATTTTCACAAAATCAAATGCAGGGATGTGTCCGGGTGGCTCAGATCAGTTACGCAGCCGTCCGTTGGTTTCGGCTCAGGACATGGTCTCATGGTTTATGAGTTCGAGCCCCATGTCAGGCTCTGCACTGACAATGTGGAACCTGCTTGGGATTCTCTCTCCATCTGTCTCTGTCCCTCCCTGCTTGTTCGTGTTCTCTCTCTCTCTCTCTCTCAAAATAAATAAATAAATCCTAGAAAAATTCAAATGCAAAGACAGCTGTAAGACCAGTAAAATTCACATTTAGCAGCATCCATTTGACGTGATTCGTACTGTTCTGTAAAGTCTCTCCTGGTTGGGTTTGGGAGATAGGAAACTTTAACCTCAGGTAAGTTCCCTGAGCTTTTTCTGCATGTTGACTTATTTAAGTAGGCCTGCTCTTAATTAAGTACTTATTTAAGTAGGTCTGCTCTCCTCAGTCAGTGGTATAGCATGGCATTAACTAACTTTGGGGCTTTATTAGTTTGGGATAATCAGACCTCACCTTTCAACACCAGGGGGCTCAGGCGAGGGATCTGCTGACAATGTGCATGTGGAATGGACCTGTGTAGCACCGACCACCCTGCGTCTGGCAGGACCGCACCGCCGTTCGCCTGCCTTGAGGCAGCTCGGCTCTCCCTCCTCTTTTCTCCGTTTAGACTACTGCAGGACCCTCCCTCAGCATGCAGGGGTGTCCCTGGACCTTCACTGAGCACAGGCAGGATTATACTAAACACAGACCCAAATGCAGGAGCTGAGATTGTGTGCGGCACATGCCGAAGAGGTGGGCATTCCGATCTCCTCTGGCGTGTGCTGATACAATTAAAGACGGTATCCATTGAGAGTCAACGCAATATTTAGAGACTCTTCTGGAGAACTCACAGAGCCCCGAGAACACGGCCCGGTAGGGTCAGGCATTTGCAGCCGCCAGCTCCAGGAATACTACCTTCCATGCAGAGAACAGAGAACAGCACAGTATCTCTCTCTGTCTCTCTCTCTCTCTCTCTCTCTCTGTCTCTCTCACACACACACGTGCACACACACACACACACACACACACACACACACTTCGAAAGGTCAAAGGCATAGTGTCAGATTTTCTTTGTTGGTCCTTTTCCATCTTTCACTCTGTCTTCCCGGGATGCCATCTTCCCTTTTCCTGTGTGTATCCTGATCTGGGCCTGTACCTCCTCTAACGATAAAACCGCCCTTCATCGAGGGCTTCCTGGGTGCAGGGTGCTTTATGTCCACTTCGACCCATGCATGTCACAGCTCTAGCACGGTAGGCACCGTCCCTGTTGAGGAAGGGGGTTCGGAGAAGCTAGGGAACTTCATCAGAAGTTAAGAACCTTGAAGCGGCAAGCCGGGATCGTTCCCAGTTCCGTGTGTCTCTCGGTCCCCTTGCTACCCAGGTCTTCATCTCTCTATTCCGTGACTTGTGTCCTAAGATGATCTTAATGGCAGCCAATGACACCGAGGGAAGAAGAGAATGTCCCCATTCTCTCGGTGGCTCTCTGTCCCCCCGGATCCTCCTTACCACCTCCCTGTCTCTGACCAGTTCCGGCCCAGACCGGGGAGCCTCGTGACCCCAGCTGGGACTGGGCAGGTACCAGGAGGAGACTGCCCTTTTTAAGGCATCCCGCTAACACCTGTGACGTGGATCAGGCAGATGCTCCACAGTTTGACCTTCTGTTGTGCCTCAAGTTGGGTGGGTGGGAGGACTTGCCTCGATTTGTCTCCGAAGATCTGTTTGCAGCTGCTCTCTCTGGCTCCTTGCTTGCTGGGTCTCCTCATCCATGGATGCTTGCTTCCGGTGTTTCCTTCCCCCAGCCTCTCAGTTGCTCTCTGGCTTGGTTACAGTGCAGCTCTCCCCGCCCCACCCCCGCACCGGTCTGTTCTAACCTCTGCCTCCTCCCCGTTTTTCCTCCTTGCTCCCATTAGGATCTGTTTCAGGTACTGGCTCTCTGATCACTTCCTTTACCCTTCATCTCTTTTCCTCTCCATCTTACCTCTTCCCCCAGGCACCCAGACTCTGGGTGGCTCTTGCGTGTCTCTCTTTCCCAATGCCTTCACCCACATACCTCCCCATGGCTCTCCTGCTGTGTCCCGGCCCCTCCAGATGAGAGTCTCTCTCTCTCTCTCTCTCTCTCTCTCTCTCTCTCCACCCCCCTTCCTCTCCCTTGCTGCATCCTTCCACCTCACTCACTGCAATGCTTCAGGTGACCAGTGGTTAAGGACAGCAGCTGCCTCTGGGCTCTGGGTGGGGGACATCCCTGGCTTTTAGAGGGAGCATGCATTCTCGATGACGTCTCATGGCCGTTGCTTCCCCCTCCCCCCTCGTCTCTTCCCTAGTCTGGTGCTGCTGGTCATCCTTAACATGATGCTCTTCTATAAACTCTGGATGTTGGAATACACCACCCAGACCCTCACTGCCTGGCAGGGTCTGAGGCTCCAAGAAAGGTAATCCTCGCCTCTTCCCTTTGCCACCACGTTCACCCCACCCGGTACCGTGCCCCAGCTCCTGCCGCCCAGTCGCCTTGGGACTGCCCTGCTGCCCTTGGCCAGTGGGTAACCCCTGGGGATGCATCCGTTGGCAAGCTATGAAACTGTCCGCGTAGCTTTAGTCTGCTTCAGATCGGGGGCACAGGGGAACCGGGGGGCATTGAGTGGAGGACAAAGCAGTCTGATGTGACTCTCTGTCCTCTAGGGGTCTGGGAGCACAGGAGAGTCCACTGAGCATAACTCCAGCTGCCAGGGTACCCCTTCTTCTATCCCACAGGTTACCCCAGTCTCAGACAGAATGGGCCCAGCTCTTGGAGTCCCAACAAAAGTACCACGACACTGAGCTCCAAAAATGGAGGGAGATCATCAAATCCTCAGTGATGCTTCTTGACCAGGTGAGATGTCCCCACCTTCTCTCCTTGCCCCCGTCTTCCGGAGATGGAGCTCCTTCCCTGCGCTCTGGGAAGGATCACCATCCCCATCCCCACCCGCCGGACCTCACTCTCCCATTTCATTCTTACCCTGGGCCATCCGATGTTCTGATTTTAAAGCCATCCTGGGATGGGCTGTTGGAAACACAGGTGCACTCCCCCAAATAATAACGATGAGGTTTGCAGGAAAGTTGTAGGTTGCACGGAAGGACCAATCTTTTTTCTTTTTTGGCAACTCACAGCCATCTGACAGGCGTTCAAAGAGAGAACCTCCATTTCACAACGATTTGTCTTCCCACAGGGCCTGATTTTCTAGTTCCTTTTGATGTATGCCATCCCCCCTCCCCTGCCCTGAACACCACAGAGCCAACACACAACCCCTAATACGTCATTCTTCCCCTGAGGCTGCGCTGCTAGTCTGGGAAAATGGTTGTTGAACTAAGTCATCTTTCCATAACATCTTCTAGTACAGGTGCCTGTATTCCTTCCAAAAACTAGATGCATCTGTTTCAGAAAATCCTGGGGCAAAACCAATAATAAGTTTAGTTTTATCAAGGGCAGGAGCGTCTGACTTCCCCCAGAAGAAGTTAACATCTTATACAAAACTGCCATGTAGTTGCCAGGACAGCAAGAAGCTACCTTTGCTCTAAAGACAGTTAAGAAGATAAGAGACTAAGGCTTTGTCTTGTTCCCATTAAAACTTCTGTTCCTAAGGCGTTCCTTATGTTTGGTGACCAGCCAGACTTGAGGTGGAATCCCGACCTTGCCACCAACTAGACCTTGAGCAAGGGACATAATATTACTGACTTACAGTTTCTTCATTTATAAAATGATTATAATTGTAACTTCATGAAATTGCTGTCGGGATTTGATGGCCCATGGGAGACACTCCTTAATAGTAAATCTTATTTCCCCTTCATGGTGTGGTCTTGGCTCTAAATTAAGGAGAGAGAGTTTTTTTGTTTTTTTTTTTTTTTAATTTTTTTTTCAACGTTTTTTTATTTATTTTTGGGACAGAGAGAGACAGAGCATGAACGGGGGAGGGGCAGAGAGAGAGGGAGACACAGAATCGGAAACAGGCTCCAGGCTCTGAGCCATCAGCCCAGAGTCCGACGCGGGGCTCGAACCCACGGACCGCGAGATCATGACCTGGCTGAAGTTGGACGCTTAACCGACTGTGCCACCCAGGCGCCCCAAGGAGAGAGAGTTTTAATGCAGCTGTCAGGATCCAGCTGAAGGTGTTTTAGGATATCATGTTTAGCTTTAAAGCCATGGATTTTTTTTTTTTTTTTTAAGGGTAAACTGCATAGCAGGCGTTTCAAAAGACCTGTCCTATCAAGAAGGGTTGATAGAATTAAAGATATGCCCAGGAGAAGGAAAGATGGGGGTGAGGAAAACAGGATAGGTGTTTTGTTTCGTTCCCTTTAAGAGTAGCTTCTAAAAGAATTAATAACAAACCCCCTCTCCCCAAGGAGCAGAGGGGGGTACAGAAGAACCAGAGAGAAGAAAGCTGTAGATTAGGCAGAGATCAGAGGATCTGAAAATCCATGACCGTGTGCCACGAAATGTTAATTGCACTGTGTTGTCATAGAGCGGCTTATTCAGGGACCGTATCGAAATGCATCGTGGTAGGACAAGCCAGTTGGGTTCTGCCACTGAGCTAACCATATTAGTGTGCCTGTTTCTTAAAGGAGGTTAAGAGGAAGAAATTCAGTCAAGGTTAATTCCGTGATATGAGTCACAACTAGAAGCCTACTCAGCTGCCCATTCTCTGCTTGACATGCGGGGTGTATATGCTGTCCAGACACACATGAAACAAAGCGATTACAGAGGAGTCCACTGCAGAGTCCTAGTGAGTGCTTTCCAGGTGGCCAGGAATAAGAAAGAGGATTATGCGCCAGAGAAAGTTTGGATTTGTTCTGGGTCTTAAATGGGTGAGACTGGAATGGGCAAGAGAGACGAGTCCTAGGCGGGGGGAACAACGTGGCAAAACGTACAAAGGTAGAAATACCGAGTGTTAGGGTCAATGGGGAAACCAAATCCAATGAGTAGAAGACAGCCTAGTGTGGTTCCTTATAGCAATTGAATGCTTTGAGGGAATTTTTTTTTTTTTAATTTTTTTAATGTTTATTTTTGAGAGAGGAGGGAGAGAGACAGAGCATGAGGAGTAGAGAGAGAAGGAGACCCAGAATCTGAAGCAGGCTGCAGGCTCCGAGCTGTCAGCACAAGAGCCCACGGGGCTCGAACTCACGAACTGTGAGATCACGACCTGAGCCAAAGTCGGATGCTTAACCCACTGAGCCATCCAGGCACCTTGAGGGAATTCTTTTTTTTTAATTTATTTTTTGAGAGAGAGCGACAAAGCGAGCAGGGGAGGGGCAGAGAGAGAGGATGCAGCAACAGGCTCACACCATCTAGTCTGAGGAGGGTGAACCCTGAGCCAGGATCATGACCTGGGCTGAAACCAACTAGTCAGATGCTTAACTGACTGAGCCACCCACATGCCCTAACCCTGAGAGAGGGTGTAAACCCAACTGGACTACAGATCACTGAGACACAGTGAACCTCACCCTCGGGGTTCCCAGTGCTAGACTGGCTGTCCCCTTTCTGCCTGAGACGATGGCTCCTGCATTGTCTTAGGAGCCCGGCTCCCTTGAACTTGCCTGTGATGGGAACACCTAAACAGGCGTGTGGTAGGTGCCTTTTCTGGACAAAGAAGCTGGAGTGCAAACCACGTAGCTGGGTAAGGTTCGTGTCTTCGGATGAGACTCTCTCATCAATCTTCAGAGGCATCAGGTCCCAGCGACTACATCAGGAAGTGAAGAGAAGAGGAACCGCTATCACTGGCCAGGCAGGAGCAGGAATTTGGCTGGGCCACCTTGCGAATACATTAACATAGACCATATATATATATAAATATATATACTATACAGAATATAAATATATATACATATTATATGCAAAATTTTAAAGAGATAATGCCTATGTACCAGGGAGAAGGAGCCGGACGGCCTCCTGTGCTGGCCGGGCCGAGGGGCCGAGGAGGGCAGGGACCACCTCTCAGCACAGAGCCTCCCCCTGATCCTCCTCCTCCCCATCCCTTCCCCCACCCCCAACCCTTTCCCTCACTGGCCGTCCTTGGCTCTGAGAAGGGAAATGTTGTTGAGCCAAAGTTATGCCTGTGAAGACCCTGGGGTCTCGAAGTCTCAAGGGGGCATTGCTTAAGGTGCTTCATTCCCCAGTCCTCTTTTGGTTATCTCAAAATAAAGAATCCCCCACCCCTTTGGAGTGCTCTCTTGTGAACAGGAAGCATCCAGGGCGGGAGCCCAATCAAAGGTCTGCCACCTGAGGCCACGCCCCTTTCTGTGGACGCCACGCCCCCAGCCCGGTTGGGGGCTGGAGGGCTGGGAAAGCTGTGCCTGCGTGATTGGGCTTTGTAGCTGAAGGCTCCCCTGGGGACTTGTGTACCTAATGGTGTTCTCCTCCATCACCCCTGCACCTTCCCCTAACCCGTGTAGGGTGTGGACCCAATAAGGGCTGGGAATTTCTGACCTTCCCACCCCCCTTCTCTCTGGTCTTCTCCCAGGCTGGATCTGGGTGAAGTGTCACTTTTTAGTGCCTAAAGCCCTATTTTTTCTCTGTGCCCTAAGAGCACACATTGTTTATTAGCCAGGATGGAGCATTTTTGATCTTGTTAAACCCCTTTTTAAGTGGTTATAAGCAAGGCGGGCCTGTGGCTCTAATTCCTTCGTTTTGAGCTGTCCATTTGATTTCCGGGACGATCCAGGGTGCCCTAGGGACGTCCGGGGTTTGGGAGAGTGAGTGCCCTCACATTGTACATATTGTGGGTTCACACGGAACGCTGTGTAAGTAGTGAGCAACTTGGTGAGTGCTCACTTGGCTGCCAGCATCGTTTACTCTAAGAGAAGAGCCAACTTTAGCCAAGGGAGACACTGGAGACCTTCTGCACAAGGAAGGAGACCTAGGCTTTTGGAAGGAATACATTTGGGAAACGTGCGTGCATTTGTGAAGGAAAAGGCCTGATTGAGTCTCTGCCCTTTAGAGGCCATTCCAAATCCTGTTTCTAAGACTTAGGAGAATTCTGGTAAAGGGGGCAAAGCCTTCTCTGGTCTCTGGCCCCAGGGAGGTATGAGAGCACTAAGGAGGAGAAAGTGAGTCATCCAGATCCATTTTGGAGTTGGTTCACTAGGATTCGTGCACTTATCTGACCTCTATCTGACCTCGTAGGGCCCTTGTAGCCACGATTACCATTTTTTATTCACTAACTGCTATTCTAACATATAATGACCAGAGGGATCCTGCCAGCCCCAGGCAGAGCTCACAGTGCTCAGTCAGGAAAGGATTGTACCAGTTTGGCAAGGAAAGTTCTTTTAGATTGCCCATTATTCTAGTGGGCCTCTTGATGCGAGGGACAGAAGAAACGCAGGGCTTCTCACTGATGTGGCCCAAAAGAAGGGCAAGTTGTGTTCTTCTCTTGGAATGGCCGGAGCATCCCACTTTTATAATCAAAGACAAGTTTTTGACTTTTTAGTCTGAGAATATGGCCTTATTATTGTCCTAAGAGCAGGAATACATGCCCCAGGGGAGTAGGCTGAGAAGGCTCCACAGAATCAGCTAGAATTGATATCCCTCCTCTAGAAAAGGAGATGTGAGGGATGGAGTTGAACATAATCCTTGGGAAGGGTGCATAGGCCCACGGGTCAGTGGGTCACCACTCACTCTTGTCCGGGGCTTTGAATGGGAGACACCCTGGTGAGGGTCAGGGCTCGTGGGCCCTGGGCCAAAGGAGGAATAGTGCAGACTGCTAGAAATTTTCCTGGTGCAGTGGCCAGAAGCCAAAATTAGTCTCAGAAACTTTTGAAAGCAAAAATGGTAAATTCTCTAACTTAATCCATGTACCATTATTTATCTAAATCCATTCAGTTGTTGAAGGTCCCATGGTGGGACCTTTGGGGTGACTTACAAAGGGTTCTCTGCCGGCAGTAAAGTAATACAAGTGGGCCTGGCTACGCAGAGTTGCTCAGCTTTTGCTTTGCCTCTTCAGCCATTCCAGGGAGGAGTAGGTAACAGGGAGGGACGCATTTAGTATGTCCAAGGAATCATCATGGTTTCTGGGGGTGTGAGCCTGGGAGACAGGGTCTACACACAGGGAACGTCCCTCCACCTGCCTCTTTCCTAGGAATCATGATCTCTCTGGTGGGCACTCTCTGATATAATAACGTTTTAAACCTTCAAACCAGGAGAAAGCTCAGCACCTCTGTTGACTCCCAAACAAAAGCTTCCCCCCCGCCCCACCCCTTATTCAATAGCCTGTCAAAGAAAAGGGATTCATCTTCCAGCCAGTGCTTTGTTTTTGTTCATGTAAGAATTCTGGTCACATAGGAGTCTTTATGTGAGGATTTCTGTCGTAACCATTGAGAGCTTGCGCTCAAAGATTTTGCAAAGTTTCTAACCAGGTGGCAAACAACTACTGGGTCTATACTTCCAACTGCAGTGTACTTGAAGGGATTAAGATTGGCCTTGGAGAATCCACTCGTGTCTACAACTCGTCCGTCCCCCGTCCACCTCCCTGGCACAGGGGCAACAAGACCGGCAACCTGAAGCTGTCTGTAAGGGCACTGGGCAGAGTCAGGAGACCTGGGCCCGAGGCCTGGCTCTGCTCTTAGACAAGTCCCTTCCCCTTTCTGAACATCAGTATCCTCGTTTGTAACAGGAAGGGGGGTAGGCTAGACTGTCTCGAAGATAGGTTCTAGCTGAGCATTGTCTTGGAGGCTGGGTCAGAGACTGGCAAGGCAGGGCTTTCTCAAACGTGGAAGGTGCTCTGCCAGAAGAGAACAAGCGTCTGGGCTAGAGCTTCCCTGGTGTTTAGAGGGGTAGTAGGACAGCATCAGGGTTCCCAAGAAATCCAGGGTAGTTAACTTTCTTCTTTATGGGCTGGCAGGACTAGGGAGGCCTAGTGAGGTAGGGAAGGGGAGATCAGGTTTGTCGTATTTCCTAGTATTAACCTAGGAGGGTGGTTCTTCCTTTGTTGGCTTAGTCTTTGTTTGGGAAGGGACTTTCTCTAAGTTGGGAGGAGGATAATGGCAAGAATGGCACCATCTTGGATTGAGCTCATCTTTCGTCTCTAGGCTATAAAGCCTTTCATCTGTCCATCCTTCCTCCTCCTTGCTAGAAGAAACACTGGAGAGAAGCCATTCCTGGCCCTAGCACTTCTCTTTTGGCTCAATTCAAACCTTGTTGGGTTTTAGATTAATTGTGAACCTTTGGCTAAAATCCTTGGGTTGCTTTAGAGCACTGACCCTAAGAATCTGGGATTTTAGGAAGGGGGAGGGGGATCAAGAAACCTCAAAGAGGAATGCTTTGCTAGAAATGGCTTCCCTCTGTGTCCCTCTCCCTGATCCATGCTTGAACCATGTCTAAATCATTTGTGGACAGCATTTCTAGGGTGAAATCTTGCAGAAAGGACTAGGAGAAGACTCTTTCTAGACTATTTGTGGTCCCAGAAGGATGCTTTCTGTGCCATACTGTGCTGTTGCTTTAGCTCTGCAGGGCAGCCAAAGCCAGCCCTTCCTCTCTAGGGCCCCCAGGTGGCAGGGCTGTGGTCTCCCTCCCCACACCCCCGGACCCCACCTCCCCACTCCAGTCGGAAACTTGAGAACCTGGCTTCCTGACTCTCTCCTCCCCCACCCTTTGTCTCTAGGCTGTGGGACAATCATCCCATCTACCACTTGACATCCTTGACCCTCGTCCCCCAGCCTCCAGCAGGCTATCCCCACTCCCTCCACCTCTATGTTTTCTTCCAGAAGATGCGTTTTGGGTCCGAGTGGAGCGATTTTCTGGAAGGCCGTCTTTTTAACGCCCCTGCTTCCCTGATGTGGAGTAGGGATTTGCACAAGGTGTAGAGAGCTCCCTCCCCACCTCTCTGCCCAGCCTTGTTACCTCACTCCTGCTCCAGCCATGGCTGCAATGGGCCCAGCCAGCTCCCTGTCTTGGTGTTCTGTACGACAGCTCAGGGGTCTTGGGCATTGTTTTCTGTTGTGACTTGAGGTCCTCAGCAGGCCTGGGAGCCTGGATTGGAGCCTTGGCTGCTGGTGAGAAGCACCTTGCCTGCCAAGAGGAGCTGATGCCAGACGATCTACCCGACATGTGAAAGCATAAAGAATCTTGTCATCTCTGCCCCTTGGCCCCCTTGCTTCTCTCGACACAGTGAGACGCTGCAGAAGCAAAATGGCGGCCTCTGCTCCAGGCAAGACAGCTGGCTGTCTGGGGAGTTGGCCCTGGGCTTGGATGCCACGTGCTGAGATCGCGTAACAAAAGCAACCATATTTGCCAACAGTAGTGTGTGGCTCCCCACATTTCCCTATCCTGCACTCTAGGGCCAGACCACTCTCTGCATGGACCAGATCATCTTCCCAAACCCATGGTGCTTTTCCCCCCACTCAGCCTAGACTTCAAGGTGGGGAGGATGGGTCAGAGGCCATAGTGGCCCCTGGATAATCCTGACAAGGGGTGGAGTGGGGTGAGGCAGAGGGAGCAGCCCCCAACACCTGCACTGGGCCATATATGGGAAAGAACACAGGTTGATTGCAGTCGAGTTGTCTGGCCATCTGTATTTGGATCTATAACTGTACTTTGCCTGGCGCTGTGCGCAAGGTCTGAAAACTTAACTGCTATTACCTAGAAACCATACACGGCTTCCCAGCCAAATCTTAATGTAAAGTAGCTAGAGCCATGGAAGTACAGTATGAATTAAAAGAAAAAGTATTGAACTACAAATAATAAATGGTGTGTGTGTTTATTGCTGGACTCATAAGCACTCATTGTCCCAAATGTTTTTGGTTCTCCCAGATGTGATGAGGGCAAGGTCCAAAGACGTGTGTGTGTAGGCATGCTGATACATATATGCACAGCCATCCACCCAACATCTAGGACACCCTTTCCTGGGGAGGGAGGCAGCCTGATAAAGTTGAATGGATGAGTTTTGGAATCATACCTGAGTAGAGATTTTAGCATCACTGTTTATCAGCTGTGTGACCTTGGTCCCCAGCCATTATTCAAAGCCTCAGTTGTTTAGAGATAATATAAAACTGTGTGTGTGTGTGTGTGTGTGTGTGTGTGTGTGTGTGTGTGTGTGTCTTAGTATAGTGCCTGGTACCATACTGAGATAATTTTTATTCCATTATTAACCAGTACTATTATTATAGGAGCATATGGTAGACTGAATCCCAACAACAACTTCTTATGTAACTTTTCCCTTTTGTGCCTTGGCATTTCCAGGAAGGTAGACATTGAGAGACAGCTTTGCTCTATTTCCTTAACCTAGACCGGTAAGGGAATTAGCCCCTTGCCACCTGGTGGGAAACTTTCTTGGTGTCAGGCAGGAGAGGACTATTGACTCTTTTATTTGGGGGGGGAGGGGCGGGGGGGGCAGGAGAAGAGGGAAAGAGCAGCTAGATCACACATTTATGGTGTTTAATTCAGACTGTTAAATGCATTTTTCATCGCCTGGGAAAATGTCCACTGATGGTGAGTTCAGGAATTGATGCAGGCTGGAGGGGGAGGTCGAGGCCATAGTATTCGTGGCAGACGCACATTGTAGAGCAAAACCAGACTAAGCTGTGTGTAGGGACACTTTATTGACACGAACAGGGTATTTCCTGAAAAACACTACATACTGCCATTAGGTTGTCGAGAGCTTGGGTGATCAGGAACAACATTGCTAGAGTTCAGAAAAAGATTGGCTGTGGAAAATGAAGAAAAAGCACTATGAAGGTGACAATGTGGCAAGGAGATCCATCAGTTGAAAGACCTCAGGAGTTTACTAATGGTATCTGATGGTGTTTCCCAAACCTACAAGCACGGTGCTTCCGTGGCCTCCCTCCCCATCACACACGCTGACATCAGATGCAGCTCTTGCCTAATGGTGACTCGGGGTCTGTAAGGGAGACGTATTACCAGCGTTGAGGCTTATCTGGCCTGTGATCGGGATTGAGTTTGATTACTACGACTCAGACTTGCTGCACGTACTTATCTACTGGGTCCTACTAAACTCAAGTAAGATAACTCAACATGAGTTCTCTGCTATGGTGGAGTTTCAGAGATTAGGACAAGTTTGGATGATGGTATTTTTCAGACCTAAGACCACGGGGCACACTGAGGCTCTAGATTGGTGCTCCAGGCAGAGTGGTGCTGAAATGCAGAATGGATGGATGATTGGAGGATGAACACAGTACTACTCAGATACACTCACAGTGACTAGGTGAATTCACTGGCTTAGGGATCTTTCATTTACAAAAGGAGGGGTGAGGAAGGCTTCATTTTACTGTACTTTTCTATTTCTTTGTTAATTTGGGAAAGGAGAACCAAGATCTATTCTGAAATGTGTCTAGCTTTTGTTTCTTCCTACAAAGATGCCAGTTACACAGCCTTTCCCCTCTGATTGATGTCAGGTTCACAGATTCTGAGTTGGGTGTACTTTCCTTTTTGATCTAGTAGTTTCCTAGGAAGAGGAGGGAGCTACTGTCTCTTGTCTTAACCATTCGTTGCTATACACATGTATCCAGCATGTTCCTGCTTTGAAAAATTCCTCTCCTACTAACATCTAGTCGGGCGTCGAAGGAGAAACCAGAAACTCAAAGAGAAATCTGGGTGTGTGGATTTTGGGGGATGGAGAAAATAAGGGAAAATGCTTTTAAACAAACAAAATAAAGGTGGGAGTAGGTACAGGCAGTGTCTGTCACAGTACGTCCACACAGGAGTCAGGGCTGTGATATAAGACTGAGCTAGCAGTAAAGGTCAATACAGTGCCAACTGATTTGAGCAGGGTCAAGTTCTTGGCTGTTAAGCAGTAGGAAAAGGAAAATAAGACCTAAGCCTGGCCTGGTCTTTAGTGAATTGTGTTATTGAGGATTGGTCATGGAAAATATCCAGCACCAAGATAACAGATGGGGTTCCTAAAGTGATGATAGCCCTTGAGAACATTTCTAAGCCCTTTATAGGAACAGCATGCCAGATGAAGTTTCCAGAGCAATGCACATTTGGTCTGGGTCCTCTAGGAATATGGGGAGCAGGGAGGATTTGAAGCAGGTTGGGGGTCACACTACCCTTAGTTCTGTAGTCCTGATCAAGTCTCCCAAGAAGGAGTTGAATTACGCTAAGGGAGAAAGAGTGACGTGGAAACCAACTAGAAAGAGAAAACCAAAACGAGATAGACTCTCAAAGCACATTAGGAGCACTGGCTAAGAAGCAAAGCGGTAGAGGAGCCGTCGGGTGGCACTAGGTGTGAGAGAAGACGTCAGACATCTCAGGACAAGCAGGAGAGGCAAAGATGAGGCAAAAGCTCATCAATGAGAGGAAACGATGCAGCTGTGATCAAAGTGGAAAAAGGAACCGAGCTCTCCACTTACCGGCTGTATGACCTTAGCATGTGGTAAAGCTTCTTAGCCTCCAGCAGCCTCAGTGTGCTTGCTCACTTGTGATGTGGGTATCAGTAATACCCACCCCACAGGGCTAGCTGTGGAGAACTAAGGTAACAGAAACGAAAGCACTTTGTAAACCATATTGCTCTAATGACAGAATTGAGAATGAGAAGGGTTGAGAAGTTAAAAAAAAAGATTACCTGTAAAACGTAAATAAGGGCGGGGGGTGGGGGGAGATGGTAGGTGCCATTCAGTTCATTAAAAACCACTCAGGAAACATCTGGGGTGGGCTTTTTAAAAAGAAAACAAAAAGGCAGCCATCATGCATATGACTTGATTTTGAGTTCAATGCTTAGATGCATTGTCTACTGAAAGCAAGAGGAAGGTGGGGTGATAGGAAGTAGCTCGCTCCTACTGAAAGCTCAGCCATCCACCAGCCACGGGATCAGGAGAACTGCACAGTAATCCACGCCTATTCTCTATAAAGTACGAAAAATGATCTATATTCTGTCCCCGATTTCGGAGGAATCATGTGCAAAGTTACCGATGAGAAAGGCCGTAAGTTTACTGCAAGTATTTTCTTCAATAAAATTGGACTCTTGAACGTGTGAACAAGGACTTGTGTCTACTTCCCCAAGAATGGAAGAGTTGGAAAAAAAATGAGTTCGTCGGGTGAGGCCCAAAGACAGAGGAGTGTGATCTTTCCCCATGAATTCCCCCAGATCTGAGGGACACCTGTCATTGAGTCCCAGCCACTTGCATGTTCTCAGAACCCATGAAGCAGCCTTCCCCTCGGTCACTAGGTGCTGAAGGACATCACATTTGGACCAGTCACTCAAAAACGAAACGAGATACTGACTGAAAGTTTTCCAGTGTCCCTGTGCTCTCCCAAAATCTAGAAAGGAAAGAAACCCTCAACAACTAGACATCATGGATTCACCTAGCCCATCCTGCCCCTATCACTTCACTCATTCTCTCATCATCCTTCTCAGACTAAAAAGCACGTTTCTTAGTTTAAATATTCCCAGATGCAGTCTCTGGAGGATTTTTCAGAGTCACAAATCTTTTCACTAAGGAAACTCTTCATGTCTACCCCATGTTCTCCTCTCTGCCTTTTGGCTAGTTTCCAGGTGTGTGGGTCTATCAGAGTTAACCTCAGCCAGACAGTCCACCCCTGTGCTTGTGAAAGAGGCATAGCTGTAGCCAAACTCAGTTTCAAGGTCTTTTTAAAACCAAAATTATCCCATCTCTGAAAGTGTCAAGTGGGAAGCGCCTAAGGCTTACTATGTTCCAGTTTATCCTCTGAAATCTCTTAGTTGAGCCCTGAGTCTCCGTTGCCTCCTGTAAAAGGAGGGATAATACTGACCTACAGGAATTTTGAGGAAAAGAATTTAGAAATTTCAGTTTCAATGCCCACAAGAATATAATGCTTCCCAGCCATCTCAGATGGTGTGCTCCACTTGGAAGGCACACATACATTACCCTAATAGGGTGATGAACATGTTGTATGACTTTTAAGGGCCACTTCTGTCTTTGGCTTCTTGAAGGACTGAGGCCAACCTAGTCCTTAGAGACCTATCGGGATCTAGCCCCAGAGTACCAAGTTCCAGAGAACATCTTGGTCCATGCTTAAACTTTCTATCACTGAAGATCCTAGAAAGGCATGCTTTGCTCTGATGCTCTAGTCAAGTGGGCCAGGAACTTGGCGGGGGGTGGGGGTGGAGGGACTGATTTCAAGGAATCCCACTGCATGATGCTCCTGCTTTAACCAAATTAATCATTCTTACTTCCTTCCATTAAGACATCCTTTCACTTGCAACAAAGAAGAATGAGCCAGTTCCAACCAGTTAGGGACAGAGGGGTGTGCCATCTTCAGCATTTGTACAAAGTCATTTGGAGCACAGGGAAGTCCAGTTGGCATGGGAGCTCCTTGCTTGAAAGCTGGAACAGGGTGAGGTTGAGTCCGTGTAGAAATGTTTACTCCTCAGTACTGGCCAAGTCTTATGGTGTGTAGAAGTCTGATGGAGTTAGAAGTCAGAGGTGAAAGTTCAGAGGTGTGCGGATGCATGATGAATGAATAGAAGGATGGATGCATGAAGGGAAGTGATCTGGCCCCTGGGGCACCCTCCTGATGCTGTTAACATCCCTGAACTTGGAATATCCAGTCCCTCAGTGTCCAGCCCACCTACCAACAATAAAACAACTCACTGAGAATTTCCAGCCTGGCCCAGTCCAGGCCAGCCAAAGACACTGACCAAATCCACAATCCTTACAAAGGAGGGAGTAGGGGGACTACTTTTTGTTGCTGTGGGTAAGAAGTTCACATTGCTCAGGCCAAAGCAATTCACTTTCTGAAGGGCTTGACGTCACACAGAGCTTTGTGACCTGGATATCGACTTTAAGAAGTACCCCGAGGGTGGGAACTCTGGGTAGGGTAGAAATCTACGGGGTCAAATTTAAAGTCACTTGGGTGTGGGTGACCAAGTCACTTGTACAAGCTGCCATCCTTATCCACCTTCGCCTGCCCTTCCCTGTACATCACCTCAGTCACACCCTTCTATTCTTCCACTGGTACCGCAGAGTTCTCTTTGTTCTCTGATGGGATGGCAAGGTAGTCAGACCTGGAGGAGGGCATATGGGGGGAGAGAATCAATACTTTAGTACCCAGGGGTGGGAACACAAGAAAAGGGAAAGAACAAGGACACAGGAACAAGGACATGTATAGAATAGCTCCGCGTTTCCTTCTTCCTGTGTGTCCCAAGAGAAAACTAGAATGGTCCTTTCATAGGGAACTAGAATAATAGGCGTTTTTATTTTTTCCCTCCACTAGCAGTGTGTGAATCTTCCCATTTATCCACATGGATCTCAGGACTTCTTATTGTTAGATTACAATGTTGGCCAAACTGATGGATGTGAAATTATACTTTATAGTTGCTTTAATATTTATTTCCCTGATCACTGCTGATGTACATTTTTCATAAGATTATAGACTATTTGGATTACTGCTTCTGTAATTAGACTGTTCATTTGCTTTGGCAGCTTTCCTTCTGAGATGTCTCTCTCATGGATTTTTCTTTGATGGTTTTGTGTCTTGAAAATATCTTCTCCCAGTCTAAACTTTGTTTATGGATTCTTGTAATGAACAAAAGATTTTTAGATATAGTGTCATGAAAATTATCCATTTTTCCTCTCTGTGTACTGAAGATACTGTCTTATATTCCCTTAATAGAATTTTCAAGTTTTATGTTTTATCTCATCTCTACATCCACTTACAACTTATTTTTGTTTACTGTGAGAGATGGGGACTCTTACTTTCTTTTCCATATGGATAAGGAATTGTCTTTCTACCATATATTGGAGAGTTCATTCTTCCCTAAGTGATTGTGGTGCCACTTCTGTCATATATTATATAAAATTGTATGTACACATTTATCTATTTGGGGGCTCTCTGTTTTATTCTCTTTGTGCTGTATGCTTAAGACAGTATCAACAAATTCTTTAATTTCTCTATAAGAAATCTTCATATCTGATAGGAAAAGTCCTACCAGCCACCTTCCTTAAGTATTGTTCTTTTTTTGAAATAGGCAAACTATGGCTCGTGAACTAAGAACAGTTGTAAGGGTTACGAACAAAGAAGAAAAACCAAAGAACAATATACAACAGAGACCCTGTGTAGCCTGCAAAGCCTAAAATATTCACTATCTGGCCATCACTTGGTTTAGACTAGTTTTGGCTCTTTGCTCTTCCATGTGACTTTTAAGATCAGCTAATTGAGTTCCTTGAACAATCTAATGGGTATTTTGATTGAAATGTCATTGAATTTGCTGACTAATTTAGGAGACAATTGCCGTGTTTACAACAGCGAGCTTTTACTCTCCATTTATTTAGGTCTTAAGTCTTTCAGTAAAGTTTTGTGCTTTTCTCCTCAAAGGTCTTGCACGTTTTTATCAAATGTATTCCCAGGTACTGGAGACTGTTGCTACTGTAACGGAAATGTTTTCCAATGTTTTCAATATTTAAATGTTTTTCTAAATTTTTGTGGCTGGAACCATAGGTGGTTTTTATACTTCTATGTTGTGATTTGTATCAACAGTCTTGTGGAACATTCTCACTCACTCTAATGGTTTGTCTGTAGATTCCATTGTATTTTCTATGTAGGTGGTAGAGGGGGTCATGGAAAGGATGTGGCTGCCAGGTGACCTGTAAGCTGGACCCCAGCAATCAGGGGCTCCCCCTTCCACTTTCCTTGGGGTGTCCCTTCCAGTTGCCTTCCCCACTCCCAGAAGCTGCCCCAAGGCCACATCTTCAGGACACGGATGTGGTGTTAAGACTATCTGGACAATGTACATGTCCGAACCCAGCTAAGGCCTCTCTACATAAACCTTTAAGATTCTGGCAGGCTTATCTTGTGGCTGCCCTAGAAAAGCCTTCCATTCGCACCCTGGCTCACTCAACCTACCAGCTCCCAATCTGGGGTGGCCTGTGTCTTCCTTCAGTCTCTCCCTGCCTTCCGTGTATGGGGGCAGGTTTCAGGTGACACCCGGGAAGCTCCATAACAGGTTTCAAACCAACAGTAGATAATTATACTGGGTGTGAATCATGATTCTTTAGTTTCTTCCCTTACAATTTTTATTCTTTTTTTCCCCTTTGTATTTACTTAGTACACTACCTACAAACTGCAATATAATATTAATAGAAGCAGGGAGACGTGTCTAGTATTATAACACAGATGGTATTTGCTGGAGGTTATCTCAGTGGCTGCCATTTATCACTTTAAAGATGATTGGTGTTTGATTTTTTTTTTTTTAATGTTTATTTTTGAGAGAGAGAGACACAGCATGAGCAGGCGAGGGGCAGAGAGAGGGGGAGACACATTATCCAAAGCATGTTCCAGGCTCTGAGCTGTCAGCACAGAGCCCAATGCAGGGCTCGAACTCACAAACCGTGAGATCATGACCTGAGCTGAAGTTGGAAACTCAACCAACTGAGCCACCCAAGCAACCCTGATTGGTGTTTACATTTAATATTTATCCTGCTCAGGACATGCGTGCTTCCTGAATCTGAGAAGTCATGCTCTGTTTAGCCATTGTATCTCCGAATATTGTTTCTCCTCCATTTTCTCTATTCTATTCTTTTTTTTTTTAATCTTTAATTTTATTTTTTTAAAATTTACATCCAAATTAGTTAGCAGATAGTGCAACAGTGATTTCAGGAGTAGATTCCTTAATGCCCCTTACCCATTTAGCCCATCCCCCCCCCCACACCCTCTGTTAGGTGTTACCCATTTAGCCCATCCCCCCTCCAATAGCCCTCTCTTTGTTCTCCATATTTGAGTCTTTTATGTTTTGTCCCCCTCTCTGTTTTAATATTATTTTTTGCTTCCCTTCCCTTGTGTTCATCTGTTCTGTGTCTTAAAGTCCTCATATGAGTGAAGTCATATGATATTTGTCTTTCTCTGACTAATTTCGCTTAGCATAGTACCCTCCAGTTCCATCCACGTAATTGCAAATGGCAAGATTTCATTCTTTTTGATTGCCGAGTAATACTCCATTGTATATATATACCACATCTTCTTCATCCATTCATCCATTGGTAGACATTTGGGCTCCTTCCATACTTTGGCTATTGTGGATAGTGCTGTTATAAACATTGGGGTGCATGTGTCCCTTCGAAACAGCACATCCGTATCCCTTGAATAAATACCTAGTAGTGCAATTGCTGGGTCGTAGGGTAGTTTTAATTTTAGTTTTTTGAGGAAACTCCATACTGTTTTCCAGAGTGGCTGCACCAGCTTGCATTGCCACCAACAATGCAAAAGAGATCCTCTTTCTCCACATCCTCACCAACATCTGTTGTTGCCTGAGTTGTTAATGTTAGCCATTCGGACAGGTGTGAGGTGGTATCTCATTGTGGTTTTGATTTGTATTTCCCTGGTGATGAGTGATGTTGAGCATTTTTTCCTGTGTCGGTTCGCCATCTGGATGTCTTTTTTGGAGAAGTGTCTATTTGTGACTTTTGCCCATTTCTTCACTGGATTATTGTTTTGGGTGTTGAGTTGGTACGTTCTTTATAGATTTTGGATACTAACCCTTTATCTGATATGTCATTTGCAAACATCTTCTCCCATTCTGTCAGTTGCCTTTTAGTTTTGCTGATTGTTTCCTTCGCTGTGCAGAAGCTTTTTATTTTGATGAGGTTCCAGTAGTTCATTTTTGCTTTTGTTTCCCTTTCCTCCGGAGACATGTTGAATAAGAAGTTGCCGCGGCCAAGATCAAAGAGGTTTTTGCCTGCTTTCTCCTCGGATTTTGATGGCTTCCTGTCTTACATTTAGGTCTTTCATCCATTTCGCATTTATTTTTGTGCATGGTGTAAGAAAGTGGGCCAGGTTCATTTTTCTACATGTCGCTGTCCAGTTTTCCCAGCACCACTTACTGAGGAGACTGTCTTTTTTCCATTGGATATTCTTTACTGCTTTGTCAAAGATTAGTTGGCCATACGTTTGTGGGTCCATTTCTGGGTTCTCTGTTCTGTTCCATTGATCTGCGTGTCTGTTTTTGTGCCAGTACCATACTGTCTTGATGATTACAGCTTTGTAGTATAGCTTGAAGTCCGGGATTGTGATGCCTCCTGCTTTGGTTTTCTTTTTCAAGATTGCTTTGGCTATTCGGGTTTTTTTCTGATTCCAAACAAATCTTAGGGTTATTTGTTCTAGCTCTGTGAAGAATGCTGGTGTTATTTTGATAGGGATCGCATTGAATATGTAGATTGCTTTGGGTAGTATTGACATTTTAAGAATATTTGTTCTTCCTATCCAGGAGCATGGAATCTTTTTCCATTTTTTTGTGTGTCTTCTTCAATTTCTTTCATAGGCTTTCTATAGTTTTAAGTGTATAGATTTTTCACGTCTTTGGTTAGATTTATTCCTAGGTATTTTATGGTTTTTGGTGCAAGTATAAATGGGATCAATTCCTTCATTTCTCTTCTGTTGCTTCATTGTTGGTGTATAGGAATGCAACTGATTTCTGTGCATTGATTTTATATCTTGCAACTTTGCTGAATTCATCGATCAGTTCTAGCAGGTTTTTGGTGGAATCTTTTGGGTTTTCCATATAGAGTATCATGTCATCTGTGAAGACCGAAAGTTTGACCTCCTCCTGGCTGGTTTGGATACCTTTTATTTCTTTGTGTTGTCTTAT